GACGCGCGGAGCCGGCGCAGGAAGCCGAGCGGATCGGGGGTGAGAGGAGGTGAGCGGAGGTGAGCGGAGCACGCGGCTCCCCGGCACCCACCCACCCCACCCCCACCCAGCCTGGCCGCCCCCTCCGACGTGAGCTCCTCCACCCTGCACCCCAAAGTCTTGCAGCGCGCGCCCCGCGGGGCCGACGCACGCGCCCCTGCGAGACCCACTGGATCCTGCCACCTCACGCCCCCCGCATCCCGCCCGTGCACCTCCCTGTCCTCTGCCACGCACATCCCCTGCCCCTTGCACGCACAAACCACGCACCGCAGACCCGAGTCCCTGCAGTGTACGCAGCAGCAGCCCCTAACCCAGCACCCATCACTGCCCCAACTCAAGCGAGCACCCATCCCAGACCGTGCCATGCCTCCGTACACACCCAGGCGCGCGCGCGCGCGCACGCATACACACACGCACAGACGCGCGCACAGACACACACGATACATCCCTGCCGTATCTGCACTAACATAGCTTCCCTCGCCGTGCCACCACCGTCTCCAACTCCCCATGTGTTCATTACAGACACCCCACCCACGTTCCCAGCCCGGAGACACTGCGATCCACCTACCCCTGAGTGAAGCCCCAAAACTAACTCCTGCCCCAGCAGCTGACACTCCCCACACCCCACAGCCTGGCCCAGTACCCAGGCACACAGCTCGTGCATCCCCAGCGTGCACACTCATACACCCCAACACCTATGCCCACCTGCTGGGTTTACACCCTCCAGCACCCTGCCCCAACTCCACTGCAAACAGCCCCCAACACCCCCAAGCACATCTGCCAGTCCCTCCCACCACCAGCCCCTGACACCTGGAGGCTCTGGAGGCTGCAGCACTTGGTGCATCCCTGCCAGGCGCCTCTGGCTCTCCTTGGGTAGCAGCAGCTCACCGACCTGAGGCCCCCTGGGCTCCTCACTAAACGGACCTTGAGTCTCCCCAGCGACAGGCTTGGCCTCTTCCCTAAGAGATAAAGAAGGCACTTGGGGTGCAAGGTACTGTACTTAGATGTGGGGCTCGGGTGGGGTGGGGAGGGGAGGAAACGCGAGGGGGCCCAACTGGGACCAGAGAAATGCCAGTTGCCAGGCCCGCACATAGTAGGTCAGTTCCAGGAGGACAGGAGTCCGCTGCGGTCCATGTGCCCGTCTGCTTGTGCCACCAGGGGAGGCCTGTGTGGGGTGTTGCCATGCGTGTCTGTGGGGCGGGGGAATGTGTGTGACCCTCTGAGAGGAGAAGCGGGATCAGCACCCTCCCGGGCTCCCTCATGCAACAACTGGTTTCATTCATTCATGACTTCTTTGTTAACGAGCATTTCTTCTGCGAGTGCCGCCAGGCGTCTGCCAGGCCCTGCACTGGGGGCTGGGGCCAGCTTGGGGCCGGGCGCACACCCGCTCCTGCCTTGGAGGAACTCCCAGTCCAGCGAGGAGACCGACCAGGAAAAGCAGAAAGCCATCCCCAGCGGAAAGTGGATTTGGTGGAAAAGACCCTGGATTTGGCAGGGATGCTGTCGCTGGGAGTTGTGCTCCTGGCCATGTGACTGGGCCGCGACAGCCCGGCGGGAACCGTGCATTTTGGGGTGAGGGGTGAAGGGTGAGGCGGGGAGACGCTCTCCGGAGGCTCCGGTGACCAGAGGGCGCACGCAGCGCGCGTGGGGTCTATGGGCTGCGGCGTCCCCGCGGCCTCGGAGGGGCACTGGTCAGGCGGGGTGGAGGCCGGAGGCCCCTGGCGGGGCGCTGGAGCTGCAGGCTCAGCGCCCACCCTGCAGCGAGTGCGCGGCCTGGCTCCACCCGCAGCCTTGTGGGCCTTGGCGAGGCCTGGGCGTGCAGCGCTGCCTCCCCCGACCCAGCCCGCCCCAAGAGCTGGCGCTGCAGGGGGCCCGAGTGCGGGCCCGCCCGGCTGGGGGCGGGGGGCTTGGCTGCGCTCAGCCCTGCAGTGCGGAGGTGGCAACAGGTTCCAGTGTGTCCTGCTGCTGGCGCAGCGGGCGCTGCTGGCGCTGGGCACCAAGTACTCACTTGCGAGACTGCATACTGGCCCCCCCCACCGGTTTCCCCCGGTAGGTGGGCTTGCCGGTGGAGGGAGGAAGGTGCAGGGCAGCCTCTTCAGGAGCCGGGAGCGCCAGGCTCCGGCACAAGCCCACTGGGGGGGGCAGTTCTTGGAGGCGAGCTTCCTCTCCGTTCACCGGTGCCGAAGTTGCCTTACCTGCCCCTGTCATCTTCCCAGACAGACACCCCTGGCCTCCTCCAGGGACCCCAATCCAGAAAGCCTGCCTGGGCACCTCGGGAGCCCCAAAGTGCTGTTCTTAGGCACTGCGGCTTCAGGGAACTGAGGCCTGGAGCGCAGAGGAAGGAGACTACAGGAAGGGTGGCGGGGGGGGGGGTCCCTGAAAAAGGAGCAGAATCTGAAGAGGCGGCAGAGGAGGGAGGCCTGGGCTGGGGGCAGGAGGACACAGCGCCTGGATGCAGCCAATGGGACTCATACCAGAGGCCAGGCCACGGTGGGCTGTCGCCAGAGATGAGTCCCAGGCTGGCAGCCCCCTGGGCCAGGGAGGGAGGGAAGGAGGGGAATACTGGAGGCCCCTTGGAGGGCCTGGTTCTCTGTAATCTGTCCTCTCCCTAATATCCCTTCTTGAGTTTTCTCTTTTTACTCCGTGGTTCAGGAGAGGAGTCTTCATCAGTGGCACTGACCTTGATTATCCTGAACACTGGCCTTTGGGTGGTTTTGTCATACATCTTGCGTTTTACTTAGTTTCCTGGGCTAGAGTCCCAGAAGTGGCCAGAGGGTGTAGATTCTTTCGCAGCTCTGGACGCGTAGGACTGATTAATTTCCAGAAGGGCCGGGCCGATGGAGAATCCTCCGGCAGCCAGCAACAGAGCAGCGGGCCGATTTCACAGCACCCTTGCAGCACTGGGTGTACTCATTCTGAGAACGTTTTACCAATGCAACAGGTGGGAAGGGTCACCTTGCTTCTTAAATTTACCCGCTTTCCATACCTGAGCTTGAACCTTTCCCCAACGGTTCGGTACCAGTTGCATTTCTTCCCTCAAGCGGTCTTTTCTGGTTCTTTTCTGGTTCCTTGCCTGTTTATCAGAGTCTTAACCTGTTGATTCATTTGTACGAGCTTTATCTTATCTGCTCTACATTTTCCTTCAATTCTGCTGTTTGCTTTCGATGGGTTTTAAGCGGGGAAGGGACACTTATCACACCCAGCATTATCTTGCTCAGTCTCTCTGTTTATTACTGACCTATCCCGCTAAACTGGGAGCATGGAGAAAGGGACCCCGATGTCCTGTGCGTTTGCCAACCTGTGTCCATGGAAGGCGTAGAGGCCTCTGGCCTGTGATGAACAGGTCTGGTGCAGGGCAGAGCAGGCTGGGGGGTGGTTGAGGCTGGCAGGCCTCCCTGGAGGCGGGGGGGGAGAGGGCTTTGGAAGCTGGGACGGCACCCTGGTCAGCAGCTGTCCAGTGCAGGCCCTCAGCTAGTGCGGGGAGCAGAGGTGCAAGGTGTAAGAGATCAATTTAAGTACAAAGTACCTGGCTCTTGACCAGGGAGGAGGCAGGGGGAGACGCCGGGGATAACTCCCAGGACAGAAGCATGGTAAGAGCAGAGCACCCCAGTTTAGGACTGGAGGCTCAGAGCTCCTGGGTGCCTTGGGTGACGCCTGTGCAGGGGGGAAGCCCTGGGGGTTCCCCAGAAGCTGTCATCTGCACGCCTTGCCCTTGGGCTGAGTTCAGGGCCAGAAGACAGCCGCGGGTTTCTGGTCTTGCTTCCTCCTCCCCTCCATGATTTCAGTGAAAAGCCCAAGGTGGTGGATGGCTCTGATGATGTATAGATGGGGTCACTGGAGTCAGAGTTGGAGAGGGAGTAGGGCTGGAGGCAGCTTCTGGGACAGGGGCTCTGGGCTCTTACTTAGCCCTACCCCTCCCCCTGCCTCCAGCGGCCAACTGGCGCGGGGCAGAAGAACCGAGGCTGGTCCCCTGCTGGGCCCCTGACCTGCCCTTGGCCTCTGCCCCGGCCCCTGTCCCGCTTGGGTGGAAGCCCCAGCTCAGCGCGCCACTTGGGGGCCCACCCGACCGCTTCGCGGGCACCCGTTGGCTCGCTGGCCCCCATGAGCCCGCCCCCACTGCCCCGCCCCTCCAAACGGCCACTCCACGTCCAAAGGCAGCGGCTTCCAAGGTGGAAGCTGGGTCCCTCTGCCGGGAAGCAGCCTGCTTGAGAGCGGCGCGGGACTCGGGGCTTCCACGTGCGCGCCTGCCCTGCCAGCCCACCGTCTTCCCCGGAGACCGGGCCCCGGGACGCCCTTACGGGGGGACGGCGCCCCGCTTTGCGCGCTGGCCTTGGCTCGGAAGTCCCCGCGCGGCCGCCCGCCGCCCGACCACGCTCCAGGTCTCTCTCCTCCTGTTTTCTCCTCCCGGGGGCCACCAGGGCTGGGGCAGCTCGGAGAAGGCCGGCCGGGGCCCTTCCCTTCGGCGCCACCTCTACTCCCCGGGTCCGCCTCTCACACGCGCACGTCCCCAAAGTCGGAGGCTCGAACTTGGGGAGCGGTCGCAGGCAGGCCGAGCGAGAGCCGCTGGAAGGGGGTGTGAAAGGAGGTGGCCGAACCCTTGGGCCGCCCCAGAAGGGCCCGGGAAAGGACCCGCGACTCTCAAAGGGCCCGTTGGGCACCGGGCCTTCCTGTTCTGGGGGACCCCTCACACTTACCTTCCCGCAGCGGGCAGCAGCGCCGCGCGCCCGAGTGTCTGCCTGGGGCGTTTTCCTTGGGGGGCCCGAGGCGCAGAGAGGCGCCTCCTCGCTGCGGGCGGTGGAGGGGTGTCTCTGCGGGACCCCAGGAGTCCCTCTGAAGGATGCGGGCGGGGCTTCGCGGCTCCGGCCCCCCGGGCGGCCGGGCGCGTAGAACGCGGGCTCACGCGGCGCGCCTGCCCTCTCTCCGCAGCGCCGGCGGTCCGACGTGCCCGGAGCCGCGAGCCCATGGAGGGCCTGGGCCGCTCGTGCCTGTGGCTGCGTCGGGAGCTGTCGCCCCAGCGGCCCCAGCTGCTGCTGCTGGACTGCCGAAGCCGCGAGCTGTACGAGTCGGCGCGCATCGGCGGGGCGCTGAGCGTGGCGCTGCCGGCGCTTCTGCTGCGCCGCCTGCGGCGGGGGAGCCTGTCGGTGCGCGCGCTCCTGCCCGGGCCGCCGCTGCAGCCGCCCCCGCCCGCCCCGGTGCTCCTGTACGACCAGGGCGGGGGCCGCCACCGGCGCGGGGAGGCGGAGGCCGAGGAGTGGGAGGCCGACTCGGTGCTGGGCACTCTGCTCCAGAAGCTGCGGGAGGAAGGCTACCTGGCGTACTACCTGCAGGGTAGGTGTGGACGGGGGCGCGGGCGCGGGCGCTGGGCACCCGGCCTGGGAAGGACCCTGGGGCGCTGGGGGGAGGGGGCAGGGCCACCCTTCCCAGGGTATTCCTAGGTTAGTTGACCAGACTTATTTCGTTGAAAGTGGAGGTGCCGTCCCCTCCCCTGAGCACGACCTTGGGCAAGCCCTTCACCCTGAGGAGCCCTAGTTTCTGAGTCTGGAAAATGGGGAGAATCGGTCCAGCCTTGGCTTAGAGGATGCTCAAGAATGGAGTACCAAGGGCAGGCTCCCAATTTCCTCGCCTGGGCTGAGGTCACCATCTCCTGGAGCTGCTCACCCACAAAGGAGGCAGGGGCCACAGGAGGCCAGCCGCTCTGCAAAGGCTCCGGAACCGGGAAGGGGAAAGCGAGAGAGAGAGAGAGAGAGAGGAGCAGTGAAGGCAGAAGAAGGCAGAGATGCATCCCATCATAGTCATGGCAGGGCTGAGACAGGCCTCTTTGCCCCTTGATGAGCCAAACACACACCCAAAGGTCTAGTGTAGGAACAGGGTTCCCATGAACCAACAGAGCCAGCTCTGCACCTCCTCATGGCGGGGGGAGGGGGGGTGTCCCCAGACTGTCGTCCCTTGCTGCATTCTGAAAGCACAGAATGCAGCAAGTGTTGGATCTCCAGGCTGCCACCCCCCCCAGCCCAGGAAAATAGATGTTATCTGTAGACAAAGGAGATGCTCCCTTCTTGGAACTTTGAATTGATCCAGGTAGAATCTTGGGCTCTCTCCCAGGCTCCAGCTCTTGGGGTGCCCCTGGTTGTGTTGGATGGGAGGTGGCCACCCATCTAGACTACGAGCCCTCGTGCTCCCCTCAGCTTGGACCCGAGGCTATAAAATCCCCTTGGGGGGGGGGTGGAGCTCTGCCTAAGCCCAGAAGCTCCCACCTCCAGCAGCCCAGTGGGTACTCGCTGTCCGAGCTAGGGTGGTCAGGCCGCCCATGGTGCCGCCCACGGGGACACCAGCAAGGATCAGACTGCGGAATCAAGTTCCCTTTGGGAGCATCTGCAAGCCCCCTTGGGGGTTGGAGTTGTCCGGGGTTATTTCCCTATCCCGCCCCCCGCCGCCAGGGGTGCTTGGCCACCCCAGTAGCCCGCTCCCCAGGGAACTGTCCCCTTCTCCCCTCCCAGGTGGCTTCAGCAGATTCCAGGCGGAGTGTCCCCACCTGTGTGAGACCAGCCTCAGCAGCCGAGGTGGCCCCAGCACAGCCCCAGGGCCCAGCCCAGTGGTGGGGCTGGGTGGCCTCTGCCTGGGCTCTGACTGCTCTGATGCCGAATCCGAGCCGGACCGCGACGCCATGAGCTGTGGCCTGGATTCAGAGGGTGCCACACCCCCCCCAGCGGGGCTGCTGCCCTCCTTCCCTGTCCAGATCCTGCCCAACCTCTACCTGGGCAGCGCCCGGGATTCAGCCAACGTAGAGAGCCTGGCCCAGCTGGGCATCCGCTACATTCTCAACGTCACCCCCAACCTCCCGAACCTCTTTGAGAAGAATGGTGACTTTCACTACAAGCAGATCCCCATCTCAGACCACTGGAGCCAGAACTTGTCCCAGTTCTTTCCTGAGGCCATTGCATTCATCGGTGAGTCTGCTCTGCTCTCCTCTTCCTCCCTCCCTGCCCCCCCCACCAGGCCTGGCTCTGAGGCCTCTGCCCCTCCTTCAGGACGGCTCCTCCTGGCCTTAGCCCCCATCCCCAGAGCCCAAGACTGGACCAGCACTGCTGGGGGCTGGGCGGTGCTGGAACCAGCTCCCAGAGGCCACCATCGAGAGCTGTAGGGCTCCTCAGGCAGGACAGGGCTCCCAGGCCAAAGGTGGCCAGAGCCACCTGGCTCCGCGAGCGGGGCTGGGCCGGGCCCGCCTGTCACCCCGCCTTCCCCTCTGCCCCCACCTAGATGAGGCCTTGTCCCAGAACTGCGGGGTGCTCGTTCACTGCCTGGCAGGCGTCAGCCGCTCTGTCACCGTCACCGTGGCCTACCTCATGCAGAAGCGCCACCTCTCCCTCAACGATGCGTACGACCTGGTCAAGCGGAAGAAGTCTAACATCTCACCCAACTTCAACTTCATGGGGCAGCTGCTGGACTTCGAGCGTAGCCTTCGGCTGGAGGAGCTGCGCGCCCGGGAGCGCAGCAGCGGGGGGCACAAGTCCTCGGCCTCCGACCCGCCCTCCTTCTTCACCACCCCTACCAGCGATGGTGTCTTCGAGTTGGACCCCACATAGGGGCCCGCTCCACCCCGCAGTGGGTGCCCCTGACCACCCGCGTGCTTGGGGGGAGGTGGGAGGGGGCTCAGCCGGAAGCAAGGCAGGGGGTGGGGGGGGAGCGCAATACCTCAGGGGAGGGCTATTGGGAAGAGGCCGGAGCCAGGAGCCCCTCCAGAGTGGCTGCGGGGGAGACCTGTCCTACCCACTTGAAACATCCACGGGAATCCTATTAAATGTGCCTATAAGCTGGGCCAGGGCCACCGGCCTGACCCGCGCCGCTTTCGGGCGGAACCACGCTCCAGAACCTGCCTCTTCTGCGACTGTTACTTTTTTGTTTGGGGGGTAGGGGGGGATTCCCATTCCAAGGGACAGATCCAGGTGGCTGCCCGTTCCTGGGCCTCGAGCCTCCCTGGAGCTGTTCCCTGCAGAAGGGTGTGTGCCTGCTCTGGGGACCCGCTCACAGTCCCACCCCTGTCCCCAAATGGCCGCTTCTGGGGAGGGGCTCACCACCAGCTGGTCACCTCCCTACTTTTCTGCCAAGGGCTTAGGCCCCTTGGCGCTGAGGGCCTCCCCGGGGACATGGGCTCGGAGGTGCCCTGGCTGCAGGGCATGCACACCGAGGCCCCTCTCCCTGCCGGCAGCTCCTTGCTGGGCAGCGCTGCAGGGGCGGGTGTGGCCCAGGGAGCAGCCGAGCCGTTCCAGGCCACACATCTGGCGCCCTGTTTATCCACTTGACGTTTGAAAAGATGCTTTTTTTTCCTCTTCCCCCAGATGTCTTAACAGGGATCACTGGGGCTCTTTGTGGCCGAGGGCAGCCACACTGCCGCTGGAGGAGATGGGGGTCTCAGGGCAAGAGCTGGGGGTGGGGAAGAGGAAGAAGGAGGCCTGGGTTTGGCCACTGCGGGTCCCCCAGAGCCACAGTTGGTTGATCTGGGGGGGCGGGGGAAGGGGCCAAGCTGCATACACAGAGTCATTCACTGCAGGGCACACCCCTGGTGGGCGGTGTGCATGCACACGTGTGTGCATGAGTCCGCACTCACACACCCGGCCCAGGGCCCCCAGTCCTTGCTGTGGGACCATCTCACGCTTGGGAATCCACACCACGGTTGCTTTCTTGAATTGTTCCTGAATAAACTCTTTCTGTAAGATAGCAAACGAACAGAGGAACCTGTTTCCAGAGCACCCTGGAGGGCTTGGGGGAAGGTGGAGAGTGAGGCCTCCCAAGAGGGGCCGGTGCGCAGAGCCTCCCGCCGCGGGGCTGGTAGGGGACTCCTGCAATACCAGCCCTCTTGCCATGATTTCCCATCCGGGCCCCATGCGGCCTGCCGGCCCAGTCTCCCACAGAGCCGCCCCTACCCTGGGCCACACACCGAACAACAGACCCCAATGATGCTGAGTGTCTGGTGCTGTGGAGAGGTCGAGGGAGCGGGGACCCAGCACTGACCACAGGGTTTGGCAGCCGAGCCCCAAGACTTGGCCTGGCATCAGAGCCAAGCCTCAGGGTGGGCTGACGGGAGCCACAGGAGGAAGAGAGCTGGGGAGGGATAGGGGCAGTCTTGCACGTCCAAGCTCATGGCTCTCCAGCTGATGCAGCATGGAATTTGGTCCTTGGACTGCGAATGAGGCTCCTCCTGGCAGTCGGTTAAGTGTCCAGCTCTTGGTTTTGGCGCCGCTCGTGATCTCCGGGTCATGAGATCGAGCCCTGTGTCGGACTCCATGCTCAGTGGGGGTCTGCTTCCCCTCCCCCTCTGCCCCTCCACCCACTTGTGCGCACACACTCTCTCTCAAATCATTCTTTAAAACCATGATTTCCAACCACAGAGACACGGCAAGAAGTGGCAGGGAAGCTGGAGGGTGGGTGGGAACAAGTGCTCCGCACTCACAGTGAGGGTCCTTGAGTCCAGAGGAGACGGCCCCCGGGCTAGCGTCTGTCCAGGGGGCGTCCACACCCAGGAACCAGGAGCCCAGGCCACCGCTCCTCCTTGAACATCCTCTTCCTACAGCTGTCCAGATGCCTCCCATGGGAGCTGGGTGATGTTGCCTGAGCTCCCACATGAGGCCAGCATTCTTGATGGGCAATGCTCTCGATGGGCATGGTTGGCAGAATATCAGCCCCCCAAAGATGGCCACATCCTAAATCTGGGCCCTTGTGAATATGTTACCTTAAGTGGCAAAAAGCACACTGCAGACGTGATTAAGTCAAGGGTCTTGAGATGGGAAGACTGTCCTGGATTACCTGGGTGGGACCGAACATCGTCCCAGGCATCTTTACAAGGGAAAAGTGAGAGGAGGAGACGTGGCAATGGAAACAAAGGAATGCAGGCGGCCACTAGAAGCTGGGAAGGGCAGAACAACAGACTCGTCCCTCGAAGCTCCTGGAGGAACACAGCCCTGCTGACACCAGTTCAGTGACGGCTGTGTTGGATTTCTGACCTCCAGAACTGTAAGAGAATCAACTGCTGCTGGTTTTTTTTTTTAACATTGTATTTATTTATCTGAGAGAGGGAAGAGAGCATGAGGTCAGAGAAAGAAGCAGACTCCCCATGGAGCTGGGAGCCCCATGCAGGACTCGATCCCAGGACTCCAGGATCATGACCTGGGCGGAAGGCAGTCACTCAACCAACTGAGCCGCCCGGAAGCCTACGCTGTTGCTGTTTTAAACCACTGAGATTGCGGCAGCAGCAGCATAAAACCAATACAACTGGTGACTTAGAAAAAAAAATGGCCCACCAAAAGCAGGGGGGGGTACTTGCTTATTTTGATCTTGGATCTGGATAGAAATGGGGGAAAAAAGGGAAATTTGGCCCTCAAGAATTTCTAGCCACAAGGTGAAATTTTTAATTGAAAAGATAAAGACATCGTGCACTGGATACTCCAAGATTTTCTTCTTGGAGGAACTAAGGGACAATGGTCTGATTGGGAGCACAGCTCCGGGACTTGTCTAGAAGCTTCATTTGCTTAGCTTGCACACAGATTTTACTAGATTGGAACAGCCCAGTAAAAATAGCAAAGTTTTAAAAATACGTTTTTTAAAACTTTTAAATGAAGTGATCCAGAGGGAGGATTGCCCAATTGTGTGGCAGAAGCATGAATTCTCTGTGCAGACGTGTCCTTTCAATACAGGCCTGTAAGGTGGGCTAGGAAGACTAGAAGGGGCTATACCTGGGTATTCGCCCTCTGCTGGACTCTGATAAAACCCCAGTAGGTCAGGATCTGCTGCACTAACTTGCCCTGAGGGCGGGCCTTGTAAGACCAGACCGCTCTGGTGTATTTCAAAATGTCTACTTTCCCCTCCCGCCACCGGAAGCGTGAGACTTTTCACCAATCTTCACTGTGCAAACCTGGGAGGGCTCCTGGAGATAAAATTCTTAAAACTGTTGGGGCCTCCCTGAGATCAGCGCGACCCCTCCCCAGATTTTTTTTTTTTTTTTTTTTTTGGAAATTTCAGACGTGTCCACCCTGAACTTCAAGCAATCCCTCAATTAAAGTTCAGGTTTTCCCAGCGCAGCTCTGCTCTGCTAAGCTGTGATTCTCCAACTCTGCCTGTCCAGTGTTTGGAGCAGTGGTTTGCCCCATCACCTCACTTCTCTGATGGATCTAAGATTGTTGCCCGTTGATGATGCACTGACCAGAAGCCGGAACTCGCCTGGGTCTGTTTTCATAGGCTGATTGTTTGGTTATCATTACGAGTTACATTTTACGTTTCTTCTACTTGACTCAGAAAGCCTGGATGGTGAAGCTCACTTAATTTGTTCCAGGGTCTTCAGGGACTATTGTCCCCCATCTGAAAACAACTGATTCATATATTTTGCCAAGTTTTTGAGTGATGTAGGGTGCGAAGGTGAATTCTGGACCCTGCTACTACCTTATGGCCATTATCAGTATTGAATAGTTTTAAGCTTTGTTAAGATAAATATGCATGCTACATTTTCTAGAGTGAATATCATAGAGTGTACTACTTCCAAAGAAGTATAGGAAAAGTCCCAAATATTGAGGAAATATCTCAATCCAAAAGAGGTCAAGGAGGAAAATAAAGAAACAAACATTGGAATCAGTAGAAAGTATAAAATAAGAGTTTAGAAATTAATCCAAACACCACTTAAGCAAAATAAATAAATTCTCTAGTTAAAGATGGGATTTTTTGAAAATCCAACTATAAGGCATTTATAAGAGACACACCTAAATAATAGGACCTCACCCCACCCCCAAAAAGTAAATTGAAAGGGCAGGACTTCCAGCTATGGCCAAGTGAGGATATAACAAATAATCTACCCCCCCAACAACAACAACAAAAACAGCTACAAGGGGGCGCCTGGCTGGCTCATTTGGTAGAGCATGCAACCTCGTAATCTTGGGGTCATGAGTTTGAGGCCCACATTGGGAGTAGAGTTTACTTAAGAAAAAATACTATAAAGTTGTACAAAATTGACAAAAACAATCTTGAGGATCTGGAAATCAACCGAAGACATATAATAAACCAAGAAGCGAAACTTCAGGAATCTGTGGCATCCTGGCTTAAGTTTGTTCCCATCCCTCCAGCTTGTTTCAGCATGGGCCAGGGCAAGGCAAGCCACGGAGACCAGCACCTTCTCCGCCTAGGTTTGAGGAAAACTAACTCAGTGTGCAGTGGTGGATAATACCTACATCCAGCGACATTCTCAGTGGAAGTGATGTCGCAGAGGCAGACCAGCCAGGGAGCGCCAACAATGCAACTCCACTAGACTGACACTTGGAATGTGGTCGGGGCAAGCATATTCCTGGCTAACCGGAAAATGGAGAGGTTTCAAACTAGTCATGCTCTCCTGGACTATCTTGAGGCTACACGCCTGTATATAGGAGACTCAAAAGGATCCAGTGGAAACAAAATACAAGGCAGACCTGCAAATAGCCTGAGCACTCAAAGAGCTCCCTACCCAGGCACACGTCCATCGGCAGTGCACACGAGTCTTACTAGCTGGGTGGCACAGTTGGTTAAGCATCTGACTTGATCTCAGCTCAGATCTTGATCTCAGGGTAGC